AGAAATTTTTGGAATTTTTAATTTTTAACACATTAAATTATCATCTGACTTATTTTTTTTTAATAAAGTTAGTATTGTCACATTATTTAATTAGATCAAATGCTTTAAAGAATCTTAAAATAAAATTATAGTTAGTTCTAAACAATAAAATTAATAATTTTAACAAGTGTTTGTTTACATAATGAATTAATTTGTTAAATCCTTCTTTAGTAAAAATTAGAAAAGAAGCATTATTTCATTTACACTTAATAGATTGATGCTAATAAGCAGATATTCCTGCAATTGTTTTATGTCTTGAAAAATTTATCTACTCATCAAGTGTGATATCAGATTCAATAAGATTATGAATACTCGTTAATCTCATTGAATAATTAATAATGTTATGATTTTTTAAATTTAAACCAGAATCAGAATATATACTATGCATCATCATATCATATAATCTTTTTCCTAACTTTATTATTAAATACTAATTTTCATAATATATATTTTTTAGTGTATTGATTGATATAAAGAAATAATCATCCTCAACATTATTAGATGTTTATTTAAGAATTTTTGGATATTTACAACAGGAGTATAAATATTTTTTGAAGTATCAGGTGGTATAAAAACTTATACTAGATACTTGCATATAGATTTTTAATTCCTTCAGTATGATTCTTTTCCTTAGGTAATTCAAGCTTTATTTTACTATTATCTATTTCAATAATTCAAGAAGCTTTTAATCATTTAGCATCACTACCTCATAAATAGCACAATAAAGTTAACCAGATCTAAACCCTTCATAAAAAGTCTTTAGAAGTATCTATTTTGATGACAGATGAGTTAAGTATAAATTTAATTAAGGAATCTGATTATTTTTGATTATTTTGTTCTTAATTAGTGATTGATTTCATATGATCATCCAAAGTTTTATGTAAACTTTAAATTGAGAAATATCAAATAAATTCACAACTCTATTTTTCTCAAATATTTCAGAAATTTCTCTTACCAATGCATAAAATCCAGTATATAATGATAATTCTTTATATTCTTGACCATTAGATTTTCTTACTTCTACTAAAAATTATTCTAACTATTCAGATAATATTTTATTATCCAATTCAATAATTTCATTTAAATAATCACAGGTTTCATGAAACTTAATAAATAAACCTATTCACACATTATTAGATTATCTGTATTTACATTTTTTGATGTATTCTGAAATTTTAAAATTGTTTCTTTAGTTGATGAAACAAATCACGTTGTTATTATTAATATAAAAGAAAAATAAGTTGAATAATGTGAAATAGAAAGAAAAAATTTAGGAGGAAAAAATGAAGCGTGAGAAAAAAATAATGATAAAAAAAGTTTTAAATCACTAAAAAAAGTTAAATCGCTAAAAAAAGTTTAACTCAATAATCATGCATAATCATGTGTTATGTTTAATGAATAACATGCTTCTAGAATTATCCATTTATTTTATGAGGATTAGGAATATCATGGTTTTTTCCTTTGGGAAAAACCATAATGTTTCTAACCCACCATGAAATAAATAATACTTATACCTTATATAGCATCTGAAGTATTTAAGAATGTTAAGTTTTTAAAAGAATCTGATATTTATAGTTTAGACATTATTATGTGAAAATTAATATCAGGTTGTAAACCTTTTGCTAATATTGAATATAATATTAACTTTATATATAATATAATTGATGAAAAGCAGCCTGAAATTACTTAAGATACTCCTAAATATTATGCTAATTTAATGAAAAGATGTTGGGATCCTGATTCTTTAATAAGACCTTCAATAGAAGAAATTAGAAACTCAATTATGTAATACTTTAAGTATTAATTAGGTTATATTGATAATAAAGAATTTAAATAATCTGAGATGAAAAGATTAAAATTGATACAGTTAATAAAACTTAGTTCTGATTTTAGCGAAAACTCATCCAAAAGTAATTTTTACAAGTAAAGCATTAAGTTCTATGATTTCAAAAACTTTATCCATAAATTTATCTATAGAAAATGTATATAATACAAAACAAGGTATTTTATTTAAATAATTATATTGATTTGAATAATCGAAATGATACAATTAATTATTATTTTATTAATATAATTTTCTTGGAATATTCAAAGTATATTTTAATAGAATATGATCTGAATATAAGGTATTAATTGAAATTACATTAGAAATAAAGCAAACTTATATTTACTTTATTTACTTTAATTATTTAGGTCATCTTTAGTAAATAATCCTGCTAGTTAAAATTCTTCAAATATACAACATTTAAAGGTAGTCTAAATGACCATTTTGAACTTCAAATAGCCGTAATTATAAGCATTTTAAATTTTTAAAATTGTTAGTTTTATAATAATAAGTCATTTTCAATTGGACATTATTTTGCGAATTCTAATTTAGGATATCTGATATGATTGATCATTTCGGACATGTATGCATTTGGGTTAAAACAAAATAATTGAGGTTCTGAGAATTTATAAAAAATTCTCAGAATCTGGTTTTTCTAGAAATCATCCTGAAATATGTGTTATCCTAAGTCTTAGCTTTTTAAGACTTTTCTGATGAAAGTTTGAAACCTAATAAATTTTTCTTTTTTTTTTGGTAAGATTTAATTTATAAAATCTTTTTAAATATGCAACAATTCTCATGATTACTGCTATACTAAAAGATTTAAACAAAAATTGAAATTCTCAAGATGTTTTTTTCTACACAATATTATGACAAGTAGCATGCCATCATATTGGGAACCTAAAATGGGTAATTAGATATATTATCTGGTAGGTTATGCTTGTCTGCTATTGGTCTATCAAGTCCTATATCAATTGAATATCTAAAATGTGTAAAAATTCTATCAGAAAAGATTAAGCAAAAGAAGTCTAAGGTGATTGGACATCTATCTTTTACCAAAATTTCAAGGATTAGGCTTCTCTACGCAAATGAGACCTTAGCTATTCCTTATATCAGTTCAATATTGGCTGAAAGTTTAAGTAATTTATCACCTATTTTCTGTGTAGGTTATAGAATCATTTTCTTCTCACCAATCTCATCCATATTAGTTCATAAAATTTCAAAAATAATGTATTACGTCTAACATAAGTAATATTATTATAATATAGCAAGCAGGTAGTGAAGAAAGGTTTCAAAATTCAATAGTTCTATTTACTTCTAAAGCTTCTGATCCAAGCAAGTACTAAGTGCTCAAATACATTATGGAGAATTTTGCTAATTCTCTATTCAAAAAGCTCACAAAGTCACACTCAAAGTCCATGATGAAGCTTGCCACTGTTTTTTGTAAGTTTTTCATTATCTCGATCGGTTATATTTGTATAATTTTTCTGATTAGATTATATTTTTTATAATTTATGAATAGTTTGTTCAACTGAAAAAATTACCCAGTTTTCGCTTAATAGAGCTTATGATTTCATTAAGCTTCATGTAGCTGTCAATATAACGAGTCAGAAAATGATGCTACATATGAAAATAGGAAAACCCTTAATGCAGTCACAATTAACCCTAACTGTAAAGTTAGAGAGTTGGATGGGAAATATTTGGAATGCTTAAAGTTTGAGAATGTTGGAGTTTTGTCAGACGTAAATGAACCTGCTTTACAGAAATCCAGTTTTTATCACCTAGCTGCCACGTGATAGACACTAATTCGTTTAAAATTCATGTTAATTATGTAACTATTTGTTAAGCTATAAAGTAGTAAAAACATCGCTAATACTTCGCAATCAGTTAGTTTTAAAATATTAGAGAATTATAAAATTAGTCTTAACGAATTTGTAATAAAAATCAAAAATTAGCAGATAAAATTAGTTTTTGTCATTTTTTTGATGTGTTATAAATATGTTATATATAAACGTGTTATAAAATAATCAACGATAAACCAAATAATTCTAAAAATAAATATTTTTTTTTAATTGATAATTATGTAATATTAAATTTAAAGCACAATACTATATATTGACGAAATTAAAGCAATTTATACATAATAAATATACTATAAAAAATTATAAATTTAGATTGCTAGCAAAATCACTACCATTTCGTTATGAAACTTCAATATCTTTCATTAATTTATCTAATGCTTTCGTTTTTTCTGTATTTTTTGATGAATAATTAATAACGAACGTATGTTAAACAAATTTCTTTAGATGATATATGGAATTTTGATCCAATAACTCATCCATGTTTGTGATAAACCATCGATCCAATACTTGAACTGTTTTAAATTTGTTTACAAAATTAATGACCTCTTCTTTTTGTAAGAGACCTGATCTGTATAGTAATAAAAATAAATTTATTATTAATTGTAATAAATAATAGATCAATAAATAATAAAATAAAAATAAAAACTGATACAAACATGATTCTGTTGTCTTTGAAAGTATTGACTAAATCTTCAATACAATTAAGAAATTTATTACAAAAATTGCTGAAACTTTTGCTTGATATTTGGAGCTATTTGATGCCTTCAGCAGAGTTGAATTCACATTTAATTATCTTTCGTATTGACTCTTTGAATGCTCGTTTAGATGGATTTCAGATACATAGAAAAAGACACTTCAATTCTTCTAAAAAGTTTAAACTTGTCTTTTTTTATCTTCTTGTGATGAAATTGAGAATCCATTAGAGATAGTAGTTATAGTTTGTGACCCTTCTGTAGCCATAGTTTTCATCAATGAATTCATATTAATTATCATCTGTAGAATATTAGAATTTGCACACAACCACAAACAAAGTTGATATATTGTTATTTCATTAAATGGTGATGGAATAATTTCTCCAACAGTATTGAAATTCATCACATCTTGAGTTAAAGTTGTATTATTAAAAATATTCATCATATTATCTTTTAGCCCTAATGGTGTCATTCTTAAAGCAGTTCTGTTTGAAGGAACATAGTCAAATAGACTATTTGCTCTTGGTATTGATGATCTAGCACCATTTGAAGGCATATAGTTAAATGTGCTTTTTTCTGACATCATTCTAAAGTTTCTGTCTGAAAAACCAAATTTGTTTCTTGTTAAATAGTCAGTCAGACTATTTTTCCTTGATAATATTCTTGAAGGTGCTACTTGACTTACTGATCGATTTGAAGGTATATAATCATTTGAAATGTAACTACTAGATCTTAAATTATAAGTTCTTGAAGGTGTATAATCATTTGAAATGTGACTACTAGATCTTGAATGAGTTCTTGATGGTGTTATTTGATTCGAAAGAATATTATTTGGAGTTTGTCTATTAGATCTTGAGTCATGAGATAACATTCTTGAAGATATCATGTTAGTCAAGCCACTTTGAAGAATGTTTAGTCTTGAATTTTGATTATTTGTTCCCACTTCTACAGCTTCTTCATCATCACTTAGATCATTATAGTTGTTGTTAAAACCATCATTAAAATTATTACTATCACTATTAAAACCATTATAATCATTACCACTAAAACTATCATCATCACCATTAGGACCATCATCATTACTTTAACTATCATTTTGACCATCATCATTACTTTGACCATTATTTTGACCATCATCATTACTTTGACCATTGTTTTGACCATCATCATTACTTTGACCATTTTTTTGACCATCATCATTACTTTGACCATTGTTTTGACCATTACCATTATTTTGACCATTATTTTGACCATTATCTTCGTGTTGGCTACTACTATCATTAAGAATATTACTGTCACTATCATTTTTCAAAAGTTCATTAATTATTTGTGATGATAGAGGTTTATCAGTTTCTTTTTGCTGCTTCTTGCTTTTATTTTGTGGCTTCTTTTTACTTTTACTTTGAGATACATTATCATTGGTATTAGTCAAAAGATTATCAAGATCATCGTCTGAAATAATGATTTCTTCCTTTTTCTTATGGCCTCTTTTATTTGTATTGTTTGTGACTAACTTTTCTATTGCACATTTCTTAGAGGATCTCATAGACAACATGGTTTTTTACAAGAGTAATTTTGTGGGTGAAGAGATTTTTTTTTTCATGAATAATCAAATTCATATAATAATGTTTTTTCTTCTTAAAAGCTTATTTTTCTCTTAATTCGTATATTTATAATAAACGTTTCTATTTTTTACTAAATTTAGTTTTGGTAACATAAACGATTTGCATATTATTACCAAATTTGGTTTAACTTTATCAATAAACTTAACAAATTTTTTACATATGATGATTATTACAATTATTATTAGTAATTTTACCCAAGTTAGCAATTATTTGTTTAAATACAATACTCATTACGCAAAAATTATTCCTATATAAAATATTCATTATGTAAATATTGTTCCTATATAAATTATTCATTATGTAAAGATTGTTCATGTGTAAAAAATTATGTGTGAAAAAGTAATTATAATGTAATTGTTAAAAAATAAATAAAAAGGAATTTTTATTGAAAATTTTATTAATTCAAAAAAAATTTATAAATAAACGAAAATATTTTTTCATCCAAGTTTTTTTTGTTACAAATATTATTTCACAACTGCTACACTTCTTCAAAGCCTCACAAAAATTATATTAGGAACCTATATAACAAATTTAACGCGTCTTCGAATACTAAAATAAATAGTAAATATCTTACTTTGATAAAAGAAACGACGCAATATTTTGATCATTTTATAATAACGTCTTTACTAAAATAGAACATGTTAATAAAAGTAAAGAAGGTGACATTAAAGATAACGTATGTGATAATAGAGACTATTAAAGTGATAATAGAGATGACGAAAGTGATAATAGAGACTATAAAATACAAGAAGATTATGAAGCTCTAAGTCATGAAGATTACATATTAACGAAGAAACTAGTGATATAAAGGAAAAAGAATTTAATAAGGTCCTAGATGAAGAAACTGTTGACAAAGTATCAAATATAGGTGATGATGATGAAATGTCTATTGAAGAAGGTGAAGAAACTGGTAATAGAACATCAAATGTAAAAGAAACTGATAGTGAAGTGCTCGATAAAGAAACTGATGATGAAGTGTTTGATAAAGAAACTGATAGTGAAATGTTCGATAAAGAAACTGATGATGAAGTGTTCGATGAAGAAACTGACGATGAAGTGTTTGATGAATATGAAATCTTTAATCAAGATAAAATTGACAATAAAGAAAATGTTAGTGATAAAGCATCAAATGCAGAAGAATCTGATAAAATCATTGATAGTGCATTAAATGATGAGCAAATGCCACTTATTAATGGAGAGTTCGCATCATATTTTAAAAACATTACCGAAGTTTTAATGTTTTGCTAGATCCAAAAGCATAACATATGTAAGTTTTCTATAAGACTTTTTTTATTATTTTCGAATTCACTTTGTTTTACTAATTCAAAATCTTAATAGCCACCCAAGCTTATGATGAACTGGTTGATATAATTCATCATCCTTAATTTAAAGGTGAGAATATCATAACAAACATTCGCTGATTTAGGAATTACTGACAAAGATTACCTCTACTCTCCATCAAATCACGCAAAATTCATATTTCGAGTAAAAAACCCCATCAACTTCTCAAGAAACCAAGGATATGTATTATTTATCCATTACAGATATCATTTGGTATTCTCTTAATAATCCTTCACTGTTCAGCCAAATGTATTTTGGTCCAGATCAAACAGTCGAAAGAAATCTAGAATTATGGCATGGAAATTTATGGAAAGAATCACCACGATTTAGATGTTCTTCTATTCAAATTAATGGAAATAAGTGTTATATATTATACTATACTTTTATTTGTTAAATTAGGTTCTACCGGTACTGAAATATAATTATTTAGTAATTAGAAATGTACAGTTGCGGAGATTTCGTAGTATATAAAGAATCAATAGAAAGAAACAAATTTGGATGAATTTTAGCAATAGTGGATGTAAGTGGTGAACTTAAAATAACAATTCAACGCATTTTAACATTTGAAGAATTACCAAATAACTTGCAAAGTAATAATCGAAGAAAAAGATCACAAAACGAATTATGGTTGTTAGATCGAGAAATAGAGAATGCAATATTATCTGTCGAATTGCAAAGAATTGTTAAGGCTATAACAATTATTATACTTTACAATGAAGATTATTTTAATATTAATTAATCTTTGGTTTTTATTCGTGAGAACTTTTATAGACATCAAGGGCGCTGAAAGTTAAGAAACGTTATATATTCTTATCAACATCCTTCAGAGTTTTCCGCTTTAGAAGTATTAGATACAAATATTATGACTTATAAGCTGTATATCGACTATTATTACGATGACTTTGGTACATATCACAACGTCTACCATTTATTGGGAGGCGGTTATGTTCAGGTTGGAAATCTACCCTTTAATAAAAGAAAGCAGCTTAGAAACCACTTCGTTCTTGGATTCGTCCCATTTGGCGATTGTTTTAATGAGTTCATTAAACCTTTTGTTGACAAAATGAAGGAATTATAAAAAGGAATGGTAATGGATGTCCAAGGAAATATGTGCCTCATAATAGCAAGTCTCGGTGATATTACTGCCGACTTACCTCAAGGGAATGATTTGGCCAGAGTCAAAAGGCATGGTGTTATAAGAGGATGTCAAACCTGTAATGCAAAAAAAGATTCTTGGACTTCCAACGATCTTGATTTATCATCTATTTCCCGTTATCATCATCTTATAGATAATCAATTCAGAGAAATTTCTGTAGCTCCGACAATATAAAGAGCTTGCGACAGAGTATGGATTATGAATTCAACCATCAATACTTGATCAGTTAAAAAGAGAGTGACACCTACAGTCGTCACAAGATATCTATCATATTACAGCTGGATAAGTATTGCGATTCCTGAAAATAACAATTGAGGCACTTTCTCAAGAAGGAAAATCGGAGTTCGTATCATTTTGGAAGTCATTCAAATATCCAAGAATGTGGCAAAAGCTGCCAAATCCAATATCACACATTGACAGTTTTATGATGTCAGACTGTCTAAGATTGATTATGAAGATAAGATTCCTTTCATTTTTAATAGATTCTTAAAACCTCAGCACTTCAGACAATCCGAAATCGATAAATTTTGAAAATGAACAGGAGTTTCAAGAAACGATACGGCTGTTAAACTCTGGTTAAAGTGTTGGATCTTAATGGCGAAAACAACAGCAATAGCATTCAAGCATTTTTTCACAGAAGAGGATTATATTAAGTTATGCGAATGTTTAGATAACGAAAGGCGATTGTTTTCACAGGTATTTAACGAGCTACTTATTTATTAGTGGATTTATTAATGTACTGTTTATTGCAATAATAGCATTCTTTATTAATAACAATAGGCATTTAAAGATTTTGAAAATCTTCTGAATTTACATGTTAATTATCATTTATTACAGCATGTGAAAAACTATGCAACTTTATTAAATACAGATGTAGGTACGAAAGAAATGGTGCACCGAATATTCAAAAACATCGTACCAAGAACGAACCGGAAAAATGTAGACCTCGACTTATTAAAACGATATACAACACTATTTGCAATACGTCACTTAATCGATGGAGGTGTTGACTACCGTTTTTCTTTTACAAGTAATGCTTTGACGAACCTTCCACATCACTTAAAACGGATGATGAATGACTGGTTTATTGTCGAAAAAACTTTTGATTCCAAAGAAGATATGAGCGAAGGTTTGATTTAAATCGAATAATGCAGTATTTAAATCTTATTAATGATTATGTGTATTATTTTACTACATTATATTAGTCGAATATTTTTCAAATGTATACCTAAAGAAACGTATGCCAAGAAACAAGGTCGAAGAAGTTCTATCAGATAATTCTAACTTTCATAGAGAACTGTCTTTAGCATATCAGAACATGGGTTATGAATTCAGTCTTTATGAATCGGCATATTTTGGAAATTTGTGTCGACATTACGAACTTGCCTCTTTTTTGGTAGAAGACAATACACAGTATCGCCTGCACGTCGGTGAAGTTGTCAGCATAACTTCTAATTATGAAAGCTTCGCGATTATACGATCAATTTTTAGTCATGAGAAGAATAATCAACGTTTTGCTTTTGTTATTATTGATAGGTTTGAAATTACCAATCAAACAAGATTAGAATGCCCGGTTTACAAGCTTCAAGATACAAAAACATTCCGTCCTATAAGCGACATCGACACGAAAAATATTGCACACTTTGTTCATTATTGTGTTAATAATGAATGCATCGATGGTAGACACGAGTTTAGGAACAATTTGTATATAAGAAACATGTATTTCTTCAATGCGGTATAATAGTCGTTGCAACTTTATTATGTAATATTAGTTAATTTTTATATAATTGGTAGCGAAACATTTACAATATATTTACAAAGTTTTTACTGATTATTTACTAATAATGTACTTAAAGTATACTGTATGTTATCTAATTCCTTTTAAAGTCTCGACAGCTTCGATAATATGTAATAACAATTCCGATAATATGTCAAAAGAATTCCGATAATATGTCACAATAATTCTGATAATATGTCGCAACAATTTCAATAATATGTCAAAACAGCTTCGATAATATGTCGCAACAATGCCGAAAATATGCCACTACAATTCCAATGAGATATTACAATAATGCCGATAACATATCACAAAAATTCCGACACAAAAATCCATGTACGATCGTCTTAATACGCAGTAACTACATTCAGACTACATGTTAACTAGATCGTATCAAACTTATGGCTACTACATTGCCACTAAATCTAAATTTCAGTAAAGTGATTATGTTGATAACGTTTAGCTTTTGAAATAACTGAGAAGATTAAATCGTTTTAAAATTATTATGAAATTAATTTAAATTCCTCCTTGTTAACTGAATCTAAATTCTGTCATTTAAACTTTTTTCGAAATTTGTACAAACTAGCCAAAACAAATTGAGGTTTATTATATTATTTATTATAATAAAATTAATGTGGTTATATAATAAATACGGACATCTATTTATTATTATTTTTATTTTGTTTAAAAAATAGAATTAAAGATTAATAATTTGAACTTTTGTCAATAACAAATAATTTCATATGAGTTTTGCTATTTTATTTTCCGTCATTGGAAAGTAGGCGCAGTCATTATGATATTTAAGCATCCTATCAGAATTCAGGCCTCGTCTTTGAACCAAATTCCTACCTATGAACGTAGCAATGATGTTTAAAATTGTTCTTTGCGTAACAATTCTTTTGCGAAATTTATTGGAAAATGATAGATATTGTTCCTATGAAGACTGCATCGTCGCCTTAATATTATAGTTTTTTTTATGTAAGAAGGTCCAATTAAAAGAGAATGTTATCTAAAGACGTAGTAAATATAAAAAATAAATCAACCAAATCTTTTTGAATTGTCATTATTGGCGATGCAGTTTTTTAATCTCTAAATTAATTTGTATTATAAAATTAAATATAGCGAATTTTATTGTAAAGAATTTAAATTTATGAGAAAAAAAATTCGTATCTATTTTAATTTATCATAAATTGGTGTTACCATGTACCAGTTAAACAAAAAATAAGGTTTAATGATTACAAACTTTTTTAGTCGCTTGCTTAAACCGGATTACTGACTGGGTCTCACAAATTTACCATCAACCGAGTAACTGTCAATTACATACCGAAATATTTGAATGAGATAAATTTATTTTATGATAAAGAATTTAGCGGGAATAAAATGTGCCAAGTGATACAATATAAACAGTATATGTATATGACGCAGCAAAAAAAACAAGGTTTCTTACTTGATGTCAGAAATTAAACATAACTTTTGCATGCTATACAATAAATGACTTATAAATATATTATAAGGAATAAGAAAAAAAATATATTTACAATATTATGATTATTTTCATCCTTGTCGTCAACGGCATAATTTTGTTTCATTTACCATAAGGAATTGTCCTCGCTTCATAGTCACGAATTTGAACTTTTGAAAGGTGCAAAGGAAGAATCTGCCTCAAGTTATTTTCGAGAATACATTTTTTATTGATGGTAAGTGACGAATTATTGGTTTGTAAATTTTTCACACTAATATCAATTTTATTCAAGAAATTTATGATTGAATAAGTGGAATCCGGTACAAGGTATCATTTCCGTATAATGAAAAAATTTATATTCGCCCTTATGCCAGTTTTTGCGGTGCAGCTCGTTTCTTTCCGACTCTCTTTTTTGTATTCTCAGGGTACATAGAAAACCTGTATAGTATGGTTTTTTTTTCACACATAATTAGAATACATACATTAAACAAAAGATTATACTATACAGGTTTGTGTAATATCCGTTTCTTCAAGCTGGTATGATCATAGGATGAAATAATACATCATTATGAATGTGCAAATAAATGTAAAATAATTCTTGTTTTATGAAATTTTTTTTTTTTTTTTTTTTTTTTTGTAAAGTCTATTAATGACAATTGATTATTTTAAAGTATATTTGTATATTTTGAATATCAAACTTGATTGTTCGTTTAGGACAATTTAAACTCAAGTTTCTGACTAATTAAGCCTAGCTCATACGGAGGTCTCGTAATAGCAAACCAAATCGAGAATAAATGAATAAATAGGAGGTTTGCTATTAAAATCGAGTTACGAACATAGTAAATCATATGATCCGTAACGTGATTTTAATAGCTTACCTCCCAAATGATTGATTTGTTGTACTGACTATATTGGAAGATTTAAAAAATCAAATTTGATCTATATATTTCAAATCAAGATTTTCCATTGTTTCATTTTTTTTACACAATATTTACGATTAAAATAATTTGTTCCTTGTTTAGAGAGAACCTTGCTAATTTAACTTTGAGTATTTGGCGTCATATTGTATCACGGATCTTAATATTCATTGTATAATCCTAATAAGGTAACTTTGTGCAGTTAAAGAATGCCTCGATAATAAATTAGGAAAAATTAAATCTTTAATTATAAAATTATAAAATGAAATGGAATGGATTTTCGTAAACCGAAATTTTTTTTTCTTTTTTTTTTTAAAAAAAAATGAAGTTTTTATAGCCCAGCAGGAGTTCCTTTCCCAATGTTTATCACATTATTTTATGTAATTTACTTCGTTACTTATGGAGTTATGGGCTTAAACAATGGAGCTGATAGGACTCCCCCAATGGGATGGAATAGTTGGAATAAGGTAATTTATTTACTTCGACATTCGACATGAATTACAAAATACGAAAATTAGATTTATTAATTATATGATTATTTAGTTTCATTGTAATATTGATGAGAAATTAATTAAAGTCACCGCTGATGCTTTAATTAAACATGGATTAGGATATCTTACATGTGCCAAACGACCCGGAAGTCTCGGTAACTGTATATATACTTTTCTTTATGATATTAAATAAGTGAATTTCTCTTTTTGTAATTGTCGAAAATCTTCAACCTTTTATAGGATACGAGGATAAAGATGCGATGACATTTGCGTCATGGGAGATCGATTATTTAAAATATAATAATTGTAACAACGATGGTACACCGGAACAACAACGATATCAGGTAAGAACATATGAATCCTTGGAATAAGTCAATGTATGCTAATTTTCGGTATTTATATTCTTTTCAACTATGGTTATGTGCGATGCGCTTAACGGTATAATTCTATTTATTGATTTAAAACGTCGACAGCGATAGTGTATGCATATTGATAAGGGAAAGCTTTTGTTTTAATTAGCTACTGGAAGGCCTATATTTTATAGCATTTGTGAATGGGGTATGAAATTCTATCATTGTAAAAGCGTTATACATATCATCTTATGATTAGCGCTATCCTGTATTTATTGTAGGAGAAGCTCTCCGCATCTATGGAGGAATTCGGTTGGAAATAGGTAATTGCATTTTTTTCTTGTTTATATACTACTAGCATATATCATTTATTTATTTATATTTTATAAAAAAATCAAACTCACGATCAGTTGGAGAACAACGGATATCCAGCCAAGATGGGGATCTATCTTAAATATACTCCGACAACAAGAAAGTACAAGATACGCAGATCCAGGTGGTTGGAATGATCCTGATATGTTACAAGTTGACAATGGTAATTTGACGATTGACGAACAAAAAGTCATTTTTCTTTATGGGCTGCTCTAAAAGCACATCTTTTACGTAAGTTTGGTAAACATATTTATATTAATTTTTTTTTTGAAAAAAAAAGATAAAATCATAAAATAATGAAGAAATAACAAAAGGATTTTTTGTGCTTTATAAATCAGGACTCCACCCGTTGAAACTTTAAAAATTGTAAAAAATACCGAGATTATTGCTATTAATGTAAGCATCAATATAAAATTTAGAGGAATTCTGTGAAAGGGAAAATGATTCACTATGGTTTTTTTTTATATAGCAATATTTATTGGGAAAATCTGTAAATATTGTTCAACGTACAAGTTCTTGGGATATTTGGGCTGGGGAATTATCTGATGGTCACGTTGCTCGTGAGCTTTTTCTTCATTTTCTTTTCAAAGTAATATCATTTATTAATAATTTATTATGGTTTGTCTAGTATTATTTTAATAGGGGTGAATTACCCACTATCATTGAATTAAATTTTGCTGCACATTTATACATTAGTGGAGCAGTTGTAGTCTGAGATTTATGGGAACTTGAAGATAAAGGAATTCATACATATAGGCACTTATTGCCCTTATCTGATCCTGTTCAAATAAACTTGACTTAATAATCATAATCATTTTTTTTTTAGTTATTCATACCGAGTACCAAAACATGGCATAACTGTACTAAAAATTACTGGTGGAACGAAGATGTTGGAAAGTGATTTTTTGGTTCCATATGGTGATGGTGGTAATGATTTATTCGACGAATATTATAATAATGCATTTTATAGAAATTATTGATAGGGAGAGAGTTTATATATCAATTTTAAAAGTATTTGATTAATAATTTGAATAAACAAAAGTAAACGTAAACCGTCCATATTAAACTTATTTAAGTTTCCAATTTAATTTCTCATTGATAAATTCAATTCATATTCCGATTTGTATGCATTATTATGATTTTTGTCAAAACGAGATTGAAATTATCATTTGACGTTAATGAGTTTGCAGATTTTTGAAAGAGCATTTCTATTTACAAAAAAAAAAAAAAAAAAATATTTAAAATTTTCCTTTGAACAATTAGAAATTAATTCCTTTTTTCATTTTTCAAAATGTTGGGCGAATTTCCATTTACGAAAATGTTTTGAAGAGAACCAATTCTTTGAAAGAAATCCAAATTTTTCTCAATATAATCGTAATTGAAGTTTACTTAATAGTATCTTAAGTTAAAATTCGATACCAAATGATAAATTTTGATTTTTTTTTTTTTTTTTTATTGTAACAATCAATGAGAAAAAATCAATTTGAAAAGGCTTATCACAAAACTTTTTTGGACAAAAATGTGTAGATCGGGGAAAATACGGAATTTGTGCCTTATCGCACTCATATTTATTCATTAACTTATTTTTTTTTGGACAATACTATTTTGATTACAGCAATACTTTTGAAAATAAATATTTCAATCATGTCAAAAAATTCTCCGTTATATGTTATGTTATGTCTTTTAATTCAATTATTAGTTAAAATAAATTGCCAAGCGGAGTCTTTTAGACCATCACAACGAAAGTCTCATACTGCTACGCTCATCGATAATGTATTGTATATTTTAGGTGGCATTAATGATGATGATGACGTTGACATTGGCAAGGAATTTTTTTACCTTGATGTTTCTATTCATTTTAATACTCAAAATTTATCATGGAACAATTTAACAAATATTAATATTCTTCCATCTCATTATGATGCTGCATCTGTCACGGGTGGTGTTAATAATGATAAATTGTTATTATATGGAGGTTCATCTGATAATATTGATGACTTATTTTATGTTTTTGACACTAAAACTAACTCATGGAGTAACCCGGAAATAACTGGAGACACCGCTACTCATAAATGTTGCTTGACAGGAATCATCGATTTTCGAGAGAAAATTTATCTGTTTGGAGGCGATAATGATAGCAATGATATGCTTATTTTAGATACAGTAAATTTGAACCGGGAAACAGGAAGTTCGATTAACGCACCAACTCCAAGAAGTTGGTATGCGGCTGTTTTGTTACCAAATCAACAAATTATTTATTTAGGTGAGAAAACATATAACTTGTACCCATATAATCTTTAACTTTTTTTTATATATATACAGTATATTAATAAATATGATTTTAGGTGGCTATGATGGTAGTTCATTATCATTAAATGAGGTAGGTGAATCTATCTGTTTACATAAAATTTATTAAATTATGATTTAAAGGTTAATCGATTTTAGATCTACATTTATGACACAATTAATGATATTTGGGGTAAAGAGGTAAAGATAATTACCTTTAATGGTTAATTAATTTTAAATAGTTAATAACTTATTTATAATTTAAATAAATCAGTCAACTTCAGGTAAAATTCCTTCTCAAACATTTAGAGATTCTTTTTCCGCTGTTCTTGGTGAGTATTTTAAGTTCAGTATTTAAAAATATTTTGAAACTGATAGACTATAGTTTTATTAAGGATTGGATGGTCAACGAATTATAATTTTTGGGGGAGACAATGATCTTAAACCTAATGAAGCACTCTGCGTATTAGATTTAACAAATTTTGAATGGTATGTTCCAAGTATTTCCGGAACACTTCCATCATCTCGATTTTATCATCAAGCAAATATAATTGGAAATTATATGGTTGTATCATTTGGTAAATGCCAACGATTATTGTATTCTTTGACGACTATCATTCTATCAACATTTCTATGAATTGGTATCTATTAAAAACAACTTGTCTTTTTAATTTAGGAAATGGTTATGATCAAAATAATGAAAATGATATTTTATTACTTGACATCAGCAACAACGAAGAATATCTATGGATAAATGATTTTATTCCTTCCATATCTATACCGTACTCAGAAACTACTTCATCATCAGAAACTCCTTCACCATCTGACTTATCATTTTCTAAATCATCATCATCATCAAAGTCAATTATGATTGCAGTTATAGGATCTTCCATTGGTGGTATCTTATTATTTTTTGGAGGTCTCTTTTTATATAAATGGAATAAAAATAAAAAAGAAAGCAAGACAACTCTTGGAGATGAAACAAAAGATGATCATGAAAATACGACAATATCTACAACTAATCATGAACAAGTCATCTTACAAATACCTGGAAATGAGAATTATAATCATGAACGAGAAGCAACTCCAAGCTTTGATGATCAAGGGAAACCATTACAAAATATTGATACGATTTTAGACAATTTTAAGAATGAAATACTCCAAGCGGTCAGACAAGAAATCACGCAAACTTTAGGAAAAGATGCATATGATAAATAAGTTTCCAATTGGAATTGTTCCTAAATAATTGGGTTATTTTCCAAAAATCGTCTTTTTGTGTAAATAACCCTGAAAATAGAATTTACGAGTATTGCAATGCGAAATTTTTTTATGAAACTAATATGAAAAATATTTAAGAAGAATATAAACTACTTTTCATGAATTATTTATTTTTACATTTTACGAACAGTCATTTTATATTTGTTTTAATAAAAAAATACTTTCAATAATTGTCCGGAGCGAAGCGTAGGACATTATACTTTCAGGAAAATTTTATAATCACGTGAGTACTTCCGTTTGTCACGCCGCGTGTACGATAAGATCAGTAAATAAAAAAAAATAAATAAAAATTAATTAAAATTTTAAATAAAAAATAAATTCAAAAAAAAGATCAAAATTTAAAAAATTCCCGGAGCCTGATTTTTTTTAGTAAACTTCCCATATAGGGTTACAACTTTGAACCCAGAAAAGTCTAAAAATTAATAATTTGCCACCTCAGGTAAGATATTATGGTCACATGCAAAGATCACATATACTTTTTTTTTGCCAGCATCACGGCATTAAGAAATTAATCAAGTGACGAATAAGGTCCTGAAAAATAGGATTTTGCCACTGAAAAAAAATTCAAAGTTCCCAGAATACTAAAAGTGATTGACAAATAATTTTAAAAGTTCACGTGATTAACTCCGCTTTAGACATCCCTTTTAGGTATTATTAAATTGAATGTATTATTTAATAATTAGAAATTTTTTTTTTGAATATATTTTCATTTCTCTTTTGAACTTTTTCCAGTATTATAATATCAAAATGTAGACATTGTAATAAAGCTATTATTATTGTTCATTTATCCTATTTTATTTATTTTATATTCAATATGTAGGTTTTTAATCATACTTCTAATATGCAGTATACTTCTTGATATGGGATATGAGAAAAAGGTTTACTAGTATAAAAGCATTAAGTTTTTATAGATTTTTATACTTAAATTTTTTCAAAAAGTTACATATCAATTGATGCCCAATTTTTATTGAAAAATTATATCAATTAAATTTTATTTATATCAATTAATATTACATGGGATATCCTTTAGCTTTAACTACAGCTTGAACATGACATGTAAAATCATACTTTAACCAAATTTAATAATTAATAGTTATTCGGCACTTCGTGCCGAATAACTATTATATTGGGAAAATCAAATTTGATTCCCAATATTATTAGCTACCTTGTAGGTAGCGGTAGTT